AACCTAGTTCATGAAGGGCCCAAACCCCCCATGAACCTCTTCATGAACGTGCGCTTCATGAACCGGTTCGTGAACCCTAGTTGAACTATTTCATGAAATATTAATTGAACCAGCAACCCTGATATATTTAAGATTAATCAATCTACGAACAGAAACCATCAACATTTACGAGAACATATACTAAGTAATACGACACCTGTGGTGTCACAAAGTGAAGCAGTCATTTATAGAAGAGCCTTCCGCCGACGTTCTTGCAGTCATCCAATCAAAGGCCACACTCATGCAGTTTTGGATCGAAGGAAACTGGATCAACCATCATCCGGCAGCTCAACAGAGTTCTTTTGGGCCGCCTCTGCCTCAATCAGCCAAAACACAGTTGCATGCCTAAAAAAACCAAACAGAGCCGTGCTTGGAAACCGAGACCCAGCTAGAGCTAGCTAGCCGGCGAGATTGTTTGTTCCTCGAAAATTTGCGTCTGAGCAAAGAGATCTGTGAATGCGAGAGTCTACTAGTAGTCCAGAGACCTACAAAAAGGTATCATAAAATCATCAGCTCACAATCCAAACATCAGCTCCACACACAATCGGAAGCCACACAGTGACACAACACAAACACACAATAATAGCCACCATGCGTCCCTCCATCATGAAAGTAAAGACCCAACGCGACTCTCTTGGCTCTGACTTGTCCTCGCTCAGCTCTACCCACAGCAAGGCTTCCACTCACAGCAAGAAGCGCAGCCGCGTCAGTTTCGACAAGGTTGAAGTCCAAGAATACCCCATGATCCTCGATGAAGCCCGCTACAAGAATCCCTTCTTGACCATTAGCTGGGAACCCTGCAAGAGACGCGTCTCGTCGTTTGAGGAGTACGAAAGTATTCGCAGCCACGAAGAAGCCTACGTGGTCGATCCCAAGGAACGTCTCTACATTTGTCTGCGATCGGGAGTGCCTTCGGCATACATTCGCGAGCACTTGGCCAAGCCCAATCCTTATCTTGTCGAAGACGATGCCATGCCCGCAGAAGGAGCATCCTGCAAGGGACTCCTCAGCAGCAAGAGCGAAACAAGCGCAAACAGTCCCAACACCAGCCCCACCAGCAGCCCCAAAAAGTCCCGCCGCAAGGGTGTCTTTGCCAAGATCAAGATGCCTGGATTCGGAGGACGCAGACACAGCATTGCAGCTGCCTAAGGATGGGTCAACACAAGAGATACCAAAGGCTAGCTGCCTCAACACGAGACAGCACCCAGTTTTGACATCAACACCTGATAGAGAACGAGGAAGAAAGCCTCTCTGTTTCAATAGTATATAGTAAAATGAAATACATAGCACGGAATAAACAAACCATGACACGAAACCAACCAACTACTAGACTAAAGATAGCAGTTAGTTAGTTACTAAAGATAGAAGTTAGCTATCACTTTACTAGAAGCATAGGTAGAACTAGCGGAAAGGTTTGATTGGCACTACCGTACGGTAGCGGAAGAAGATCATCAAGCGCCTCTGGACTCCCTGACTCCCTGCTGCCAAGCCATCCCACCGCGCACCACAACCTACTTCAAAAAAACCATTTAGCTACATGTTCAGCCAACATTGCCAGCCACTGCTCCGCCCTGAAGAAGATCAGGTAGGTGATCACACATACGAGTTTCCAAGGGCATTGGTACCACTTACCACTTCAGATGCAGTCATACTGGGATACAACTTCGTCCACAAGTTGCCTTGCTAGAGCTGCAATTGCTTGGAATACCAACCAAATAGCCAGAGTAAACCATCGGCACAGGTACCGTACCATTAGTCTAGACTAGACTACAAGCCACACAGGTCCTTCACCAGTTCACATCCGCCATCGTCAGCACCTCTACTGTACCATTCACAGCTCAACCACAGCAACCACCTTAGAGTGGCTATGCGGATTTAGTCACGAGTTCTCAAGGTGAAGTATGTAAGGCAACGACTTCACCTCGGTCCCAAATCAGGAATAATTATTGGGAAGCCAACGAATTCACCATGGTAAAAACACATCCTGACTAACAGCGATCATCAATACCACCCACCTTACAAAGAACCTTTGCTTAGCGACGAAACCATTGCTAGCTAGCTACATGGCTGCCGTTGATGGAAACAGGCAACTTGACACCACATGTTCCGGGCGCCAGCTAGTATCGGAATCGTGAAGTCAGAGTCGTACCGGCAGCCAGTCTTGCAGAGATGTTTAGGTCGAGTGGGAGTCGAGTTGATTGCTTGTTCCAAAGCAACGCCCGGAACCAATCCTGGCTTCTGATAGCTCTTCTGATAGTGAAGATTGAATCGTCCTAGCTACAGTAGAGTGCCATGCGGCCCAATGGACCTAAATTGGCCCGGTTGCACATACATGTGATGTTTTTGTCTGTTTCCTCCCAACCCGCCAACTTTTTCCGGGTTCGAGCCAAATACGGCCAACGACAAGCCGGTCGGGTGTTGGCTGCATCCACGGTTGAAGAGGAGAAGCATCATGCCGTCGTGTCTGGTTAGTAGCTTGAGAGCTATGTTTGTACTCTGATGTTGCCCGCAACCGAGGAGCACTGCTCCAGCAATCGGACGTACCGCGGTGAGTCATGTCCACGGACTCTACATAAGTTCCCGTTCAAGCCAAACAAGCGAGCTGGGTGCAGGACAACGATGACACAGCCTTGCTCTCGCTTCTAACATCATCCTTGATAAACTATCCGGGGGTTTGGTGTTCCGGTAGGTAGATTATCTATGGAAGCCAGCCGGGCCAGGCTTGGCAAAGAACGTCCAAATTCAGGACTGGGTTCTGTGGGATCAGGGGCTGCTTTACAGTCAACATTCAGATATATATACTGGGGGGGATTCAGGAATTCAGTAAATATAACAGCGAGAATAAATATTGATTTTATCCCTAACCCTAACTATTCCCGTAGAATAATTGTACGTGCTCTAGTACTAAAATAGGGTTAGAGTTAAAAATGTGGGAACTGGAGTATTCTTAAATAT